AGAATCAAACCTTGCTGCATACCTTAAAATTACACAGTGAAGGATGTCAATTATTTCTCAATAAAACTGGAAGAAAAAAAGAATTCAAGGCAATTTTGAAATATACATATTCTATATCTAAAGAGCATGAATTTGGAATATATAAGAAAGGAATAGAAACTGGGGACAGGAATTAGGCCAGTACATGAAATGCACTATACTTCCTTAGGGTGAGCCATCGGGTTAAGTTTTCTAGCAGTCTGTGCAAAGACCAGACAGAATATGATGTCTCTATTACAAAACCAAACCATCTGGTCAAGGGAAGCACAACTATTCTTTCTTTATATTACATCTCCAAAGGATTCCCATAAACAGAACATCATGTGATATAATGAAGCCCATTTTTAACAATCTCCATACAGTAAATGTGACCTGAATTTTACAGGGTTATTTCTTATTTATCCACTGACACAGGCAAGAAGTACAACTCAGTTAAGCAACTCTCCAGAATGGTCCCAGGCATAATAAAAGTGCCATAAGCAAGGTTAAAGACATTAATGAAGACTATTTGCTTTCAAAATAGAAAGCTAAACTAAAATAGATAATACATTTACTACTTTTACTTGTAGTTGTGATATAGGCACAATATTTCTCTGGAGGTAAAAATAATAATTTCACACCATAACTTGTATCTTAAAGCAAGAGGAAATGAAAACAGCATGCAGTTACCTTCACCGTGTCCTTCACTCAGAAACCCCTGACTCTCACATCTGCTAGTGCACAGTCCTTGTTCCCTTTTCCACCTCTCCATGCAAGTAGCATGGCAAGGAACATTATGGAAAAGCATGTGGAGCTTCTAGAAAAACCTGAAGGTAGACAAAAGCAGAAGTAAGAAAAATCAGTACCTGCTTAAGAATTTATATGATAAGGTTTCAAGATAACACTGATCTTTTCTTATAAAATTTGCCCTCAGATTGTCCTGCCTCACACTATCTGAAATCTTTCCTTTGATTTCGTTAGACCACATCAAAATCTACCCAGAAGAAAGGCTTGTGGCTAGCAGGAATCCTCTTTTTAAACTGCAACTTCTGGCAGAGTTAATGATATTTCAGTCATTCATAGCTAAGTATAGCTTACTTTTCTCAATTATTGTTTTTTTGCACTTAGCAGAGGAAATCTTCTTGGGGAATTACATTCCCCCTTATTTCCTTCCTCTCCCCCACCACACACACAGCACGGTAACTGCCCAGGGAAACTGCAGTCATACCAGCCACTTCAGCCCTGTAGATTATAGGTGAGAAAAAGGAAAGATTCAACACTATCCTCTCAGTAATTGTTTTATATATATATATATATATATATATATATATATATATATATATATATATCCTGGGAAACAAACTAGAAAAATTAAGAGAGTGCTGTCTAAGAAGGAACACATGAAAAAATTTTTTATTCAGAGTATAAAACTGGAAAGTCTACTAGGTTTTCTTTTTAAATTATCCCCTCCCCCTTAAAAATAATAAAAAACTTGAAACACTTTTGTTTAGTGTCCCAGAAAGTCTTTGAAACCAAGTAATCTGTCCCCTTTTCCTATTCACAAGGCCAAAAATAGGAATAATTTGGCTTTCTCTTCTGAGGCAGCTCGTGGAAGCCCAGCCAGAGAACACTCTCCTCTGACTGAGAGAGCAGTGATGAAGGAACCCTGGGCTTTGCGATATGCATTTCACACAGCACATCCAAATGGGAAACAAAACTTGACCTGATTTTCTTGCACTTCATTTCCTTTGCTCCCTTTTAAGAAAAGGGTTGGGGGAAACAACTTCAAACCACTATCAATATCTTCTCCTAAATGCTCTGCAACTTGGTCCTCAAAAGGAAGGTGGTCAACTATATGGCATAATCTAATTTTATAGGCATTTGATCCAATACTAAACCCAGGCAATGCAGGAGCTAGAGCCTTCATTCAACCACCTGGCTCTAAACTTGTAACTCACTTATGGAGCCAGAAGAGGAGCTGAAAGTATTTAATACCTTCAGTTAGCATATGCTTTATTCTGAATAAATGGATGAACCACTACTTATATGAAACATAGGAAAAAAAAAAAGATGCTTTCAGGATAATGGAAACTGGAGACTAGAAAACAAAGAAGTAAAAACATAAGCTATTGGGCCTCCCCGGTGGCACAGTGGTTGAGCGCTGGGTTGCGAAGCTGCCCGCAGCCTCTGCAGCGCCCCCGGTCCCACATGGCGTGCAGACCTCTCCTGCCGCCCGCTGCTCCCCTCAGCAGTGTACTTCGGTCCTCTGCCTGCTCTGCTCCCCGCTCTGGCTCTGGTGAATTCTCTCACCCTCCCGCGCTTCTGACTCAACCCAGTGCTTGTATAAATAAATAAATAAATCTTTAAAAAAAAAAAAAAAAACATGAGCTATTACCTTCATGGTTCTGGCTTTGTTTTCCACTAAACGATGAGCTCCTCAAGGACAAGGAGTGTGTCTCATTCATTTTAAGTCCATTTTTAAGTCCAGATTTCAGATTAGCCCCTGAGTTCAATTTCATCAAGTTTTAGTACATCACTGTTTGAATCAAATTTGAATGTCAGATAAAATGGATAAAGCCTAAATTAACAAAGTCCTCAAGGCAATGAAGACCATGGGAACCATCCCACCTCTAACTATTGGACACAACAGCAGGGCAATTATGTTCCTTATATTATTAATTATTATATATTGTATTATATACTATATCCCCTAGATTTCTCAAGCTAATCTAAAAATTGCATTTCTTTGGAAGTGTTTCATATATATATATATATATATATATATATATCAATTATATCTCTAGGTTTTCTTTAGTATACCTGAGTATAGCGTATGCAGTATTTTAGAATTCAACACATCTCTGATTATCTCTCGGAGAGGTTAAGTGGTTTGCTCAAATAAGTGGGAAAACTATACAATCCACGAAGAATCCAGGGTCCTTCTGGGGTGAAGGGGTGGTGACCAAAGGGGTGACAACTCGTTGGTGTGTTTGATGGGAGTCTATCTTCTACATCAGCGTGTGGAAGCCTCAAGTTCAGGGGTCCCAAAAACCCAAAGGGATTAAAAAGTTGATTTCCCTGCACCATTTATTGAACAAACTGTCCCTGTTCCATTGCATATTCTTTGCTCCTTTGTCAAAGATTAGTTGTTCACATAAGTGTGGCTTTATTTCTGGGCTCTCTAATCGGTTCCATTGGTTTGTGTGTCTGTTTTTGTTCCAATACCAAACTGTTTTAATTATTATGGCTTTGTAGTATAGCTTGAAGTTTGGAAGGGAAACCAAATAAGAAATCAACGTAAAAAAAAAATAGTAACAGTACAAAACACAACAAAGCAAAAACAGACAATTATAAATCAGAGACATCCTGCAGGGGAGGCAGAGGGAGAGGATCAGAGGGTGGGAGGGAGGAGCACAGGGGACTGAGGTGATGGTGCACGGGTGCCTTGGGGAAGGAAATTCTATGGGGACTACACCTGAGGGGGTGGGGGAAGCAAATATTGTTTTAAAAAATAATAAAAAATTAATTTAAAAAAAGAGTTCATTTCACGGCCAGTCCCAGGCAGCCAACGACGTCGCCAGGTCCTCTCCCTCCACGCTAGCCAGGGCAGCCCAGGTCTCCGTGGAGCATCACGGGTCTCCACAGCGCTGCCTCCTGGCACCAGCCCGCGGGAAGGTTCCCTCAGTCTCCTTCGCGGGTCTGGCCGCTGCGGCTGGGAGTCCCTCTGCACTCTCCCCATTTCTTTTCCACCAGGGGAACAAAGGGGGCGTCCTGAGTGAGTCTCCGCGCTCCTTGCACCGCGCACTCCGCGGCTTCTCAGCCAGCCCTGGGCGGTCACCCCGCGCTCGCCTGCGCCCCGGCGGCCTTACCTCTAGGAGCCGCGCAGGAGCCGAGCTCGCGGCGGCCGCTAACGGGCCGGGGCCTGCGCCCGGGGCCCCGCCGCGCTTCCGCGCCCCACCGCGCCCCACCGCGCCCCGCGCCCACCGCGCCCCACCGCGCCCCACCGCGCCCCACCGCCTGCGCCCAACCCGGAAGCCGCCGGAGGCGCGGCCGGTCCCGCTGCCAACAAAGGGGACCGGCCCGGGGTCCCCGCGGGGCGATCTGGGAGCAGCCTCCTTCCAGACCCGGCAGATCTGCCTGAGCCGGCCGGGCAGGGCGCAGCGCGGGTGGGTGGAACCGGACTCGGCGCGCCAGGGCCGCCGTCGGGGGGACGCGGCTGCCCTCCCCGGCCAGCGTGTGGAGAGGGCGGGTCCCCGGCCCGGGGGCGCGGCGGTGGAAGGCACTGAAGCGGCGGCCGTGGCGACCCCCGGCGACCTGGGTGCTGCGTCCTGGCGAGCAAGACCAAGACCAAGAAGTAGCGCATCGTAGCGCAGAAAGCGTGGCTCTTTCGGGCCAGCGATCCGCTGCGCAGCGTCCGGGTGTGAGGTGTAGGTGGGAGAGAGAGCCGTCCAGTGAGGGCTTGCGCTGCCGCGCCTACACCCTTTCTTCAGGCTCCTCTTCCTTCTCTTCCTCTTTGCTTCCCTCCCTTTTGTCGCCGCAGCTGCCGCGAGGCTGAGAGCCGGCCGCCCGCCGCTGCGTTTCGGTGCCCAGGCCCAGAGGTGGGCGGCCACGCGGCACTAGGTGGACCCTTTTGGACATGTAGGACAAGGGGTTCCGTCTGCATTTGGGCCCTGAGGCCAGTGCCAGTGCACCCAACCCTCCCCCTCCTCTGCGCGAGCCAGCCGTTCAGACCCCACAGCCAGGAAAGTGGGAAGTTTGTCGGGCACCGCTTCTTCTGGGCCGTCATCCCTGGCGGGGGCTCCGGGACCGAAATTCTGCTGGGGGCGGCGGTGGCGACCTGGTTCCCCGCCAGGCTCCCCGCGGAAAAACGGGAGATGGGAGAGTTTGGGGCCGTGGCTTTAGAGCGTAGGCCCTTTTTTGTCCCTTAAACGCCGTATTATTGGACACAAAGGTCTTTCTGACAAAGAACGTCCAAGTGAGTGTGGGAACGGGGACTAGCAGCTTCCTGTGCCAGCGCAAAACCCTCCCCGCCTCCCCTCCCCAACCTTGGGGAACCAGCGAAGTCCACCTGCGGAGGGGTGGCCTGGGCTAGGGGGAGGTTGCGGGAGGAGAGTCTTGACAGCTGGAGGAGCTCTTGGCAGGTCGGCAAGGAAGGCGTTGTTGCGTGGACTGCACCGGATTGCAGATCTGTTTAAAACTGGGGGAGAACGTTCGGAACCGTCAGCTTGACGCGCAGCTAGAGGTAGTGAAGATGCGCTGCTGCTGCTGGCAACGCTGAAGTTTGAGGGTGTGAAATAACCTGTTAATCTTACAGCAAGAAACTCCAGCAATTTTAATCTCCTTAGGATCAGGAGACATCACCTGAGCTATTGGCCGAGCTGTGAAAGTTTAAATGAGCCTGAACTTTGACCATGATCTTGCCTTCTGCCGTTAGCAAACATCTGAGAAAATGTAAGCCAGCTTTACCTCTGATTTCTATGAATTTCTGTTTGTACTGTTCCACGTGATAAAAACCATAAAAAAGTTGTTTTTTTAAAGAACACTCAATTTAATGATGTTGTTTAAAATGACTCTAAAGCATTGTACTTGTGTTTTCTTTCCCAGGTTGATCTGGGAGAAAGGTAAAACAGTATCAGAATTGATTACGTTTGTTTGAAGTGACTTTTTTAAGCAGGCTGGGAAATGATTATGTCTATCAGCATAAATTTCATCCACTGAAGTTCATTATAACTTCCTGACAACTTTAGTAATTAAGACTGTGAGTTTTTAAAACAGCATACATGACTGCACCACCAGTCTCCCAAATTTTATTATATACATCAAATAAAAATTTTCCTATGTAATAAATCTACAATTTAGTGTTATGAGGGGTTCTGCTAAGCTTTTTAAAATTATGTTGTCCGTTGCTTTTTAAAAAAAACTTATGTTGTTAGTTCCTCAGAGTTGAGTGCTTTCCTCTCCCCTGGAGTTCTGGTGTTTTGGTCTCGAGGGAGTTTGTGTCTGAGGGTTTACTCTAGTGAAGTGTCACCCCTGTGCTGCTGAAAGAGTGTGTGTCCTCTGGCTCCTAATCTGAATTCCAGTTTACATTAGAAAGTCCATGTTTTACTGTAGCCACTTATGATGCTTAGTTTATATTGCTTAGTTTTCCATCAAGGAAAATGATATATATCTTTATTTAATCAGATTTCACTAAAGTATTTTAGTTTTTCTTGTATATTTGTTCAACTTACTGGTAGTTATTTTATGTGTTTTCTCTTTATAATAGAATTTTAGCCTTAATTTCTAAAATCAAATTAACTTAAAAACCTTCTAGTAAAATGACTACACAAGTAAATTTTAGGTTTAAATCAGACTAGGAAATGTATGGTTCATGAGGCTTGTCCTATTCTTGCCTTACCATTTGAAATGTATTTTTGATCACATTTTGTCCTCAGTACTGAAAAGAATTACTCAACAACTATTCCTCTATTTCTACATTTCTAAAATTTCCCCAAAAAATGAATTTTAAGTTTTATGAATTTAAAATAATATTTTTTATGATTGAGCATTAGAATGTGTTAAGGCAAATCAGAATTGTTTTCAATTGAAGGTATATTTTCAAGTCAACATGGATAAGACAAAGACAGTATATGGAAAAAACATTTAGAATATTTTTAGTTCAGTGAAGTATATTAAACTATGTTCTTAATGATAAATTTTAAGAAACATGAACAAAAAAGCTTTGAAAAAATTTGTTGTACTAAGATCGATCTATAAATATTCAAACTATCAGTAATTTTTATGAAGTGAGACAAGGTGACAGAAGGCATTGAAGAGTTACTGAATTTATTTGACCAACCGTTCCTGAGGCATTCTGGGCCTGAAGAATGGCAGTCATGAGGCCACAGATTTGTCCTGGGAACAGCAACTGGGTGATTCTATATGACTCTTGAAGGGCAGAGATGCTCCTTAGGAAACAATTTGGTGGATTAATTTTGACAATAATAAACTTTACATGAGGTACAGTGAATATAGTATGACTTAATCAGAAGAAACTTTTGTGGAAAGCCTGTAATCAGAAGCAGAATTTAGTTCAATCCAGGTGTTCTCATTTCTGCCCAGAGAGAACATTTTGGATACTTGTATTTGGAAAAAAAATTAAAATCTATTTGGTGAACTTCATAGAAAGTATATAGATTAATTTCTTCCTTAAATCCCTTTGTGTTCATCTGATAGTTTATAAATGTCTGTAAAGTTCTGCTTCTCTACTTTTTGGCTTCATCAGTTCACCTGGAGAAAACATAAGGTCAACTATATATTCCTCCAGGGGTGGGACACCCCCAATCACTCCCTTCCGAGATTCATTCATGAGCTTAACTTCATTCCAGGCTCTGCCATACTCCCCTCGAACCAAAGAGCAACCTATGCCAATTTTATCAGCCAGAGCCTGTGGGAGAAAACACAAGATCAACCAAGGGTGAAGAAGGAGAGGGGTGAAAGAAAAATTCTTTATTGTAAGGCCCATCTTGGGTGGAGGTGAAAAAGTAAACTCGCAAAAAAGTACTTAGAAGCTGAAAAAATGTGGAATATTGTGATAGGAGCCAATAAAATGTACAAAAGTCCCTTATCTCCCAAGATTCTATAGATTCAGAATCTCTGTAGTCCTGCTGGGAAATGACATTTTTCAGGCAGTTACACTGCATTGTATCTGCACAAGATTGATAATGTCATTGGAAAAAAAGCTGTTCCACAGACATGAAGCACTGGCACATCTATCAACCTTTCCATGCTTCTAGGCTGCTCTTTGTGGGTGATTTACAGTGGGATTGAATGGAGGCAAAGATTGGTGGTTGATTTATCCTGCGCAATGGTGACAGGTGCAATAGAGCAGGAAGAGCAGAATTGTGACTGGTTGTCATATAGGACGGAGCTCTCAACCCATGGGATCTGACACACTCTCCAGGTAGAGTGTGTGGGATTGTAGGACACCCAGCTGGTGTCAGAAAATTGCTTGGACTTGAGGAAGCCTAACCTGCTCCACACCTCAACTCCACTAAATTGCTACTAGAATAACTTTACCTTCATATTCTAGTGGATTCCAGAGACAAAAATAAAAACATCATTGTTTTTCAAAATAATTTATACTGATCTCTTCATATCAAGGTACTTTCAATCATAAAATATATTTCAACCCTGTGAAATAAATACTGCTGTATTTTCTTGAGACTAGAACTTGAGAGTAAAACTGAGGTCACATAATTTTCCCAACTGGTGACCTAATGAGAAAACAGAGGGAATCTTGTCTCCAGAGTCTGTGTTCTTAACCTCAGGGTGATACTGCCTCCTGCTGACTTGAACGAGCTCCTTATTGAGAGGGTACAAAGGCTAGACTGCAGTGAGTTGAGAAAAATGAGTAGTATGCTAAGGAGTTGTGATGACTCTGAGGTTTGACTGAGAATGAGAATGATCTATGGACAGAAACAGTATGGTAGCTTGTTGGTACAGATAGTTATGTTCAAGTTCCAGCTATAACTCTGGTTGACTTTGGGTAAATTATAAATTATTAGTTTTCTTGTGTTTAACCTTTGGCATTTTTGAGACCCTTTACAGTTATAGTTTATATGTGCCTGACACATAACTCAAAACAATAGTGGTCATGGTAATAGGAGCTATAGTTGTATACATACTGTGAAAAAAGGTTTGCATTCCTCTTTAAGTATTGTAGGCTTCATTTAGATTTTAAAGGACAAAGAGCTAATAGAAAAAAAGATTTAGACAGGAGAGTGGGAAGAATTTATAGGGCAAGAAACCCAAGGAAATAGCAAAGACTGGCATTATTCTTGCTCCAGTGACCTTCCAATTGGCCTTCCTGTCTCCAGTCTTATCCCTCCTCTGAGTGATTCCCCATTCTGTGCCTGATTCATCTTTCGAAATTATGTTAGTGCTTTCAGTAGCTATTCAGATTTTATCATCAAATGCAAAAACAAATGATAGTTTATGATCTGATCCTTTAGCCTCATACAACACCTCTCCATCCAGAAAAATTCCTCTACATTCCTCTAATGGGCCATCAACTCTCATACCCATTACTCTGTATAGAATGTTTTCTCTGTTCAGAATATTTTTGTTTTCCTAATACTCATGCAATATATAACCTTCCCCCAAAAACCTCTCCTGACATCACTTTGGAGCCCACAAGTTTGGCATGGTATACCTGGTATGCAGCATACTATCTGCATATACTCGGACCCTAGAAAAGGCCTGTCCTATAGTATTGAATGATAAATATTGAATGAATATGTTTCTAATAGTTTGGCAAATACATACATATGTATGTGTGTATGTATGTATAGATACATACCACATGTGTGTCAAAAATAAGTACATCTAAATGATAGGATTAATATTATCCTGTAACACGCTGGCAAACATCTTAAATACCTTGAAAAGCAAAGCTCGATGGTAGAAGATTCCTTTCTTTATGAGTCCAATTGGTATAACGTTGGATTTAAGTTGAAATTTTAGTTCACTTATATGAAGTTCCCAGCTGAAGACATTAAGTTTCTCTTTTGAAATTGTACCACCCATTTTTTCTGCCACATACCTGAGTCGATTACATTGAAATCAAATCAGTCAACATCTCATTTTAGATGCTTTGAATATAATTATATGTATAAAAACTCTGTATCGGGCCTCCCCTGGTGGCGCAGCGGTTGAGCGCTGGGCTACGAGGCTGCCTGCAGCCTCTGCAGCACCAGTTCGTTCCCCAGCCGCTGGCGAGGGTCCCACAAAAAAAAAAAAAAAAACAACTCTGTATCCCTTCTGTTTGCTTTACTTTTGAAAATGTATTTACTCTAAGTTAACATATGCTTATTATATTCAAGCTATCATATAAAAATGAAATGCTAACAATTCCATTCAACACAAGGAAATCAATGTCAATTTTCCCAATAGTTATAAGAAGATACAAATCATTATCACACCAAAGTTTTATCTATGCAATTTTAAAATATTATCCTCTCCTTAAAACTATTTTGAAATTTTTTTTAAAGATTTATTTATCTATGCATACAAGAATGGGGGTACAGGCCAGAGGTGCAGGAGGTGAGAGGATCCACCAGAGACAGAGTGGGGAACAGAACAGGCAGATCCACTGAAATACACTGCTGAGGGGAGCAGAGGGCCAGTCAGGAGAAGTCTGCTGCGCCATGTGGGTAGCTCCCTGGCCAGGGATCGAACTCATGCTTCGGTGGCTGCAGTTAGTTTCATGGGTTGCGTCTTAACCCCTTGCACCACCAGGGAGGCCCTTAAATGTTTTAATATAAAATGCAAGGCAGGGCCTCCCCTGGTGGAGCAGGAAGTTGAGTGCAGTGCTGTGAAGCTGTCTGCATCCTCTGCAGCCCCGGTTCCATCCCAGTCGGCCGGCGAGGGTCCCGCATGGCACGGTAGACCTCTCCTGTCTCTCCCGCTGC